AAGCTTCATAATACTGTTTATGGTGTGACATCTTGTATACAGGGTCAGTTTCTATAAACATTAAAAAGTTTTGTCAAGAACTCATGGCAGTAGAATTATAATTATATCTATTTATGAAAGTCGTTATACAGATAAAGAAAATTGGATGTTTTCCTCTGTGCTAGTTGACATGTAGAACAACTGTGTACTCTGCCTCACTGCATTTTGCTACTTTAAATAACAAATTACAATGTGGAAATAATACTGTAGCTGTGATTCTTGTATTAATTATAGGTCCAAAGGCTGTATTTAAAAGTTGAGTGTATATGGTGATTTGATTTATTTTGCAATTAGTTGAAGTGTTCTGCTAAGGAATAATGTATAGCAAAGGAATTGAGTCCTCAAGGCAGAAGGGAAAATGGGATAGTTTAGCCATTAATTAGGTTACTGAAAGAGAGAGATAGTATTGATAAGTCTCTAGTTACGTGGTTGTGATCATTTTTAGTGTAAATTTTCAGTTCAGTTTAACTGTTGAAGGCTGTTTGTTGTGGTTCATAGGTCAGAATCCTGTACTGATGGTACATGGTGTAGTTTGACATATGCTGATTTTTGGTAAGCTGAAAGCTGATAGAAGATGTATTGTAAAGACAAGTTGAAGGTTTTAAGCTCTTAAACTGTGACGTATGGAGATAATTTTGGATTTTTTAATCTAGAGCATGCCTGAGTATGAGTGGCCAAACACAGAATAAACCCAGGAAATAATCCAGTATTTCTCCCTCTGCTACCACCTTGCCCAGTTTTCCTGGCCAGTGGATCTGCCAAGGGAATGGGCCAGGGCAAGCAAAACTTGGTGCTTTCAGCTCTGATTTCCAGCTGCCCTGTCCTCTCCTTTTTCATCCATTCCCTATACTGTAACTACTACTTGATCTCTTCCCCTCCAAACCCTCTTCAGTCACCTTCCGTTATTTCTCCATGTTCACATGCCTCTCATTCTTCCCAAACACCTTATAGTGTGTATCTCTTGGTCTGCAGATGACCACGTTGACACTGTAGCCTACTGTATTTAGGAACTGAGTGTATACGATGCTTTGGTTTATTCTGAAATTCATTGAGAAATAATGTATATAGAGAGGGAATTTAGTCCTCAAGACAGATGCAAAAATGGGATTGTATACCTTTGCATTATATTCATACAATGCTTCAGACGTGCAAGTTTTTGGTGGTGTTTTAACTTCTGCGATATTATTCTGAGCATAATGTGTTGATTTTTTTTTTCCTCCAAATGATCTATATTTAATTTAGAAAGAAATAGTGCAATGTTTTTACGTTTTGGGGAAATAAAAAAAATTGTAGTCTTCCCCTGAAACCTGAGGTTTCGTTGTTTGCCAAAGACAAAGCCTGTTATCTCTGGCAAATGTTTTAGAGAGAGTCGAGATTGTTGTCTCTCCAAAGCAGTTTTACAGAATTTTTTAAAGTGGATTGTTTCATTCATACCTAAATGAAAAATACTTCTCTGGTGACAACTCTGGAGATGTATTTTCTCTTTCTTGTACAGAGTAACTTCGTTCTTTTAGCTACACTATAGTGTAAGAAATCTGTTTTTCCCACATATAAAATTAGGTCAGCAATTAGATTATTTTCAATTAAATGACATACATAATACCCTTCTAAAGTAATTTTTATTACTCTGTGTTTAAAGTGTAGCTGACAGTGGCAAGGTAGCAAATGTCTAGAGAGCCATAGGAGGGGACAGATAGACAGCTATCTCAACTTTATGGTAATTTGTTACCTAGGCAGTTCCTGAGTCAGAAGTACTGTTTCTCTTAGTAGCTCTTCAAGTTTGTTGTTTTTTTTGTGTGTATACATGTCCATTCACTATTAAACTGCACAAGTTTTTCATGCTCACAATAACTTTGACTGAAAAATTGCACAGGTTAGCTACATGCTAGGCGAAGAAGCATACGCTTTGTTTTTAACAAAGTGCATACGATGTCCATATAATGCCTTACAGTTGCTACACTGAAAGGTTGGGAAGGTCTGTTAACTGTGTGTCCCCTCTCATGTGTTGCTCCTCAGTCTCCTTGCGCTTAAGCAGCCCTCATTTTAGTCATTTCTTCTGGATTCCTTGTGTTTCCTACCTTTCTGGTGGTTGATGCTCTAAACCTTTTTCATTTCAAATATGTCATCCTTGAGGTTGAAGAACTGCATATTGTGTTGTGTGGATTTAATCAGTGACATAATACTGTCTAGTCCTTTGCTAAATAACATCTTGTCCGATGGCTGCTGAACACTGAGTTAACATTTCCATCGATCGTTCTGCACTGACCCCAAGATCTCATTCCTGAGGGCATTCAGTAATCTTCCTATGGATTGCTAAGCTGGAACAGTTTTTTTCCCCCATATGCATCTATATAAATATTCACACTAACCTTAATTTACCATTTTGTAATTTAATCTGTACATCTGAAGGGTTTTTTCCAGTTCTTCGTATTTGGTTCCCCTATTTGCTTCCTTTAGACAGCATCTTCTTCATCTTTATCACCTCATGTATCAGGCCCCAGCTGATATTCCTGGGGCACTCCATTGAGTGCCTACTTTCTCCTGTAAAAACTAATCATAATATTTCATCTAAAACTTGTCTCAAGTTTCTTTAAAGTTCTAAAGCTAAACACCATCCAGTCTTCATAATTTCTTTTTATTTATATCATTTATTCTCTAACCTCTTCTTCTGACACCTCAGAAGAGAGATTCATTGACTTTCATAAAGCAACATTTCAGCCTGGAAATCTCTGAACATCTTTCATAGTGAACAGAGAAGCAAAAAAAATTTTTTTTTTTCCCTACCAGCTCCTATATAGTGAGTGTCACTTACATTGTCTGACAAGCTTGCTGATTCCAGTGTATATGAAAGAGGATTTGTTACTGTTTTACAAGTTTTACCCTCAACTTTGTTTTGACGTGTTTCTGTATTTTAATTTATTGGAGTTCACAATCTTTTGTGTGTTCCTTATATAACACAATTTCAACTTTTCAAGGTCTGCTTTCAAACCTTTGTTCTGCCACTTAGCTACGAACGCTTCCTTTTTCTTTTTTTCTCAACTGTTTTGGGGTAGGTCATAGAAATGTTAAAATACAGTCTTTTTTATTACTTAAATTATTTTAAGGTTATAAGAAATATAGTGATCTGAACAAGGTAGGTTTAATTAGTGTATGTTTATCTGTGCAGGTAATTGTGAATCTGCACTTGATAATTGCAAATACTGTATTCCTATAAAATGTCTTCAGTTTCTGAAAAAGTAATGAGACTATTCATAAATAGCAAGAATATAACAAGGATATGAGTAAGAACCTATGTGTCTCAGTAGGGGATTATGTCAAAGTACTCATATCCTTTTATGACAAGGACAATGCATGATCAAGTTGAAAATATTCTAGTAGAGATGCAAAACTGTTTTCATAAAGCTGCTTGGAGAATGGGTGTTAATGAGGTCCTGTCAGAATGTATCTTATGGTATATTGTGGGATATATATTGAAATTAGGTTTGGGTGGTCTTTCTTTGTTTCCTTACTTTGATTCAGAGTTAGTTTATTAAATTCCCAGGCATCACAATGCCTTGAAAGGATTGAAAGTGCACTGGAGGGCAGCTGCAGTGTTAAAAATAGTTTGATAAACTGAGAGATGAGTCTCAAAAAAAATAGTGTTACTTGGCAGGATCAAATGCCAAAGCAAAAGTAATCATTGATGCCATGTTTGTACAGTATTAAAAAAAGGCATACTTTTTTAATGAGGTAGAAGTGTCTAGAATGTGAAGTTATTCTTTGGCTTTGAGCCTTGACTGAAGTTGCATTTGTGTAAGGTTGTGAGCCAGTCAACTGCAAAAAAGACGACACAACTTACAAGGGAAGACCTATAGGTCTGTTAGTATGAAGTTTAGAAGATTGGACAGAAGAGGAGAGTATGTAATCTGATATCTAAAAGACAGATTGCAGAGGATAGTAGAATCTGTTTTTCATATCCATGACGGGGGATTGGACTAGATGATCCTTCGAGGTCCCTTCCAATCCCTAACATTCTGTGACACACATGAATTAAGGGTTTAAATTAAAGCAATAAAGATTTACAGTGGATAGTGAAGGTGCAGGGAGGTGGGAGAATGCTTTCAGCTGGCACAGCACTAGACCTGAGTGGTACTAGGAAGTTGCAAAGTTATCTGTCATTGGAGATCTTAGGAAAATCATAAAAACATGTGTCACATAGTTGTGCAATTATTGTGGCAAAGAATAGAATAGGTGACCTCTTGAAGTAGCTTGTAGCTCTCAGGATCAGCACTGAACTGGTCTTTTCAGCATGAACTTGGAGACTTCTAGTCTTTAATAGTGTAGAGCCAACCTCCTGATCAGGATACTGACAGTGGTAAGGAAAAGTTAAGTTGTAAGAGAAGCTGCACGTTTTGGACAGAAATAATAGTGTGAGAGTTCCGCGACTTGTGTGTAGACTGCACTGTTGCTTTATTGGAATGATATGTAGCAACAGATCTCTTGCTCACAATAAATGACAGATTTTTAATGAATCGTGGATCTGACCTAGTAGGACATCTCTTACTTTCTTCATTAAAAATGTTTATTTTTTCTGAGGCAAATAAAAGATTAGCAATGTGATAGTCATGTTTATGAATTTCTTTATTCTTCATAGTTATTTTATACCTGTGTGTAGTGTATTATTTCATACCTGTAGATAGTGTTTTTTGTATACTTTTACATAAAGAATTCTCACATTTCTGCTCAAAGAAAATACAAGAGTTTTTTCTTATTTAGTCTTTTAATTATAAAACCAAGACATTTGGTCTTATTAATGACCTGAAAACGGTCAGATTGTACCTTCTTCAGAGAAATACTTTGAAAAGACTTTAGAAGAGAAAAAGGTGCAAACTTACCATAAATCTACTAGATTTACATCATCTACAAGTTTGTATACTTTCAAATCACCACGTGTATTTTTCTTTTTTTTTGTTTTCTCTTAGGAAAGGAGACTGAGAAAGCCAAAGATCGGTGTGATAAAGCCACTATGAAGCTTCATGTGTTGCATAATCAGTATGTGTTGGCACTGAAAGGAGCACAGTTACATCAGCACCAGTATTATGATACTACACTTCCTCTATTACTTGATTCACTACAGAAGATGCAAGAAGAAATGATTAAAGCCCTGTAAGATGTATTCCTATATGTTTTTAACTTGCAGAATTTTATGTGTAGTATTCAAAATAATTTATAGGATTATTTGAAAATAATAAACGGTGATTAATTAATTGTACATCAAGGGATAACAAAAAAGATGTTTTCATCTTTCAGTTGACAATAATTGTGCTTAGAAAAGACTATCCAAATAATGCAGACAGTAGTTTTGAGTGGTTACTTGAACATTCTAGTGAGACACTCTCTTCTCATAAAAACTTAAAATCTTGCAGATTAACTACAGTGTTTGTAGCTGAGTTCATGCTTTGTCCTTCAGCTGATATACTATGGCAATTTTGTCACCTCTCTGGTCGTCTTATTTATACAAGATTCCACCGGCAACAAATTTGGTTTAAACTGGCCAACTGTCTTGCAAGTCTTTGTAGACAAGGGCCAGGCAGATGCGTGGTTAGTCATATGTGTGAGAGAAGTAAAGTCATCATATAAACCTGATCTCATTGTAAGGAATCCAACTTTAAAAATACAATTACCTTTTTCCCAAAAGATTATTTTTTTACATCATTACAGAAGATGTGCAAACTGATAATCTTAGAGAACAGACAACAAGGACTTTAAGCCCAATTTTCTTTTGTAACCACCAGGCTGCCTCTTTGTCTTTCCTGAAGAATGAGAGTTCATTAGGAAGTCTGTTCTGTAGGTCTTTCTGGGGTGTTTTTTAAATGACTTAGTCTAAAAGGAAGGGCAGTTACTTTTTCATGGAGTTATGATTTATTTAGATGTGAGGCACTCTTCTTTAACACATTTTCATATGTTCTCTGAAGTCTACATTCATCTTGACTTCAGTACACAGGAAGCAAGGGAATGTTGGAGATTTCATGCTTTACGTGCTTATGTGGTGCAAACACCATTAGTTGCTCTATGAAGTATTGTATTAATTCCTTTGATTCTGGTGCAGGTATTGAAATGAAGTAGACATTTTTAGTACTCTCTGTGCAGTCCTTTTAATCTTAATCTTAATTTTGTATGCAAAATTACAGCAAAAGGCTAAAGTTAAATTTGTATGCTGTAATTAAAGTGATATTTTGGAATTGTGAGATATAATAGTCATAGAATCATAGAACGGTTAGAGTTGAAAGGGACCTCAAAGATGATGTAGTTCCAACCCCCCTGCCATGGACAGGGAAACCCTCCACTACACCAGGTTGCCCAAAGCCCCATCCAACCTGGCCTTGAACACTGCCAGGGATGGGGTATCCACAGCTTCTCTGGGCAACCTGTTCCAGTGCCTCACCATCCTCAGAGGGAAGAATTTCTTCCTTATATCCAATCTAAATCTGCCCTCTTTCAGTTTAAAGCCATTGCCCTTTGTCCTGTCACTGCATGCCCTTGCAAATTCACTGAAGAGTTGTATGATAAAAGAACCTGTTGAACCTGCTTACGTTTGCTATATGTGGAGTAAAAACCTGTAAAAAAAGTATTTTTGTCGCTACATAAACATTTTTTGTGAGATCTGAATGTACTGGAAAATTACTCCTTTCTGGTTATCTTCAGTGTACAAAAAGAGGTGGTGATTTCAGATATAGAGCTTGGTGTGGCCATCTGTGTGAACCATACTTACTTAATAATCCTGATTTTGCAGAGAAATTAATTTAATAAACTTGAAGAAGTGTAGATTAACATTGCTAATGATTTTTTTTTTTTCCTTGTAATTGACATAGATTCCCTTTCTCTTTGATATAGCATTGCTGTAGTTGACATTCACCTATCATTTGGTCACGCTCTTTGAACTATTTTCTGGAACTTTTTCACACATGTTGTTTGCGGCCAAAGCACAAGATTTAATGCCTTCTCTTGTCTGTTTTCTCTCAGAAAAAAAGTACTGCAAAAATCCAGTCACGTAACTTTTTTTACAGAGTACACATAACTTGAGATCTTATGCAGGAAATATCTATTGATTCTTTCTTCTCTGCATGTTCCTCTGAGCTGGCCAAAATTCATCAGTATTTTAAGAAAGAACATCATGCTTCAGAGCCTTGCAAACTAGCAAATTTATCCAAGATAAAATTGAAATATGAAATGATTATGAGAGTTCATTTATGGAAAACTAAAATTTAAAGAGAACAGGAGGGTATTTTGAGTATGTGTCACTGGATGCTATTAAGAGTAGCGGCACAATATTACCTGTTCTTTTACTGTTCCCTGTTCACTTGGTTTTTCCCACTCTCGGGAGCAGGTAAAGACAAGGCTGCGTGGCTTGTACTTTCTTATAGGAACTTGTTTCTTGATTTTGTTTCTTCTTTGAAATATATTCTACCTTGTAATGTATGCTTATTGTTGTCTCAATGACCAAATCATAAAATAAATATATGAAAGAAGATAGTTAAACGGGAAAGAAAACCATTCTTTAAAGGAAACGCACGCTATGTCGGGATTTGTGTTGCCTTATGCCAGAAAATATTTATTTTGTCAGTCCGAACATGAAAAGCTGTAGTGTAGGTTCTAACAAGCATGGTAAGTCCTTTTTGAAGAAGTGTCATCAATGAGCTGCATACGTTCTTTTTCCTTATAGTCTCTACAGTTTTTAGTTTAGCTACCCTGTATGCAGATGCACTGAAATCAATACAAGGAATGGTTTTAGAGACTTCTCCATCATAGCCAATCTGTAAAGAAAAGGCCACAGTTGATCTGTTTTTTCTTTGAGTAATATATTGTCTTATTTTCTCCCTTTTTAGCCAGTTGCAACAAGAGTTTGTAGAAACAGCAAATTGAAAGTTTGAAGCATCTTCAATGCCATCTATGCCTTCAGGGCCATGTTACACACTAGAATTTTTTTTCCTCTCTAGAAAAGGAATCTTGGATGAGTATAGCCAGATCACCAGTCTTGTAACAGAAGAGATCGTGAATGTCCATAAAGAGATCCAGACCTCGGTTGAACAGATAGACCCTAACTCTGAGTATAATGACTTCATAGATACTCACAGGTATACGTTTTCATCTTAGTGTGCACGTACATGTTTATTCTTGAGAAAACCCTGCATTATACTGCAACACTGATTAAATTGATTGTACTTGAATTTGTTTCTGTTTCGGTTCCTTTTACGTTGTCACTTGTTAACCTTTATCCTAATTTGAAGATTGTTTAGCTTGCACGTGCAGAAAACTGGCTGAAAGTCATGTTTTTAACCTGACTGGCTCTAGAAAAACAAAATTCCAGTTACCATTATTACATGTGAAGAGCCATAACTTTGGTACCGACAGCAGACTATACATGAAAGTCCAGATTCAGTGTGAGTTGATTTACTGTGTATTTGGATGCTGTTTGTATTCTGGGCTAAACTAAGTTTCTCTGCTTTATTTCTTGTACTGTCCAATCTAGTTTGAAGTGAAATCTGGGTACCTCTGTGTACTGTGCAGTTATTACAGGTTGAGCAGTGCCTGAGACTGCAGAAAGATAATGCAAGAAAGTTTTTTTACGTTAAAAATAAACTATGTTTGCCATTTATTGAACTGTTAGTCTTTATCAGTGTGTACAGAAATAATCCTAAGACTTCTTGCATTATCTTTGTTGTTGTTACATGTGAACTGATAATTGTCATGTGCAGGTTTGTAGCAGGATCAGCTAAGAGTGGATCCATTCACATTGATACCCCTTGAGAACCTTGGTTATGCTGTGAGTCAGATTCAAAGAATTGTATGCCATTTTGTTATCTGATATGATTTTAAGGCTATGTCCCTTAAAATGGAAGAAGAGTATGTATCCAATTGCTACCTTTTGTTTCATATGTAATTTTCACTATGTTCTAGTTATTAAAATAATTCAAAACGTAATGATTTATTTTATGACCTACTGAAAGGTACATGTTAATTTTGAAAATACAATATTTATTTATGCAATTAGGCCATCAGAAGTTGTTGAACAAGAAATAGAGTTTGATACGTCTTTACTAGAGGAAAATGAAAACCTTCAAGCTAATGAGATCATGTGGAATAATCTAACAGCAGAAAGTTTACAAGTCACGTAAGTCTTTCTTTAGAAGCCTTTTCATCCTTTGGAAATATTGTTGTACCTTATATCTAGGCTTACGCGTCCTCATTTTTAAGG